CCGGAATCGCCCCACTATTCGATAAAACCAAGGCAATCAAAGATATTCCAATTCCAAAGAATCTAAAAGAAATAAGATCATTCTTCGGGTCAACTAATCAGTACATTAAATTTGTACGAAATTTAGCATCCCTCGGAAGCCCGCTTAGACCTCTTCTAAACAAGAAGTCAATTTTCCTTTGGAATGAAGGTCACTCAAAAGCATTCGATAAGATTAAATCAGAAATAGTAAATCTTACTGAAAACACACACTTCGACGTAAAAAAGCCCACGAGAGTAAAAACCGATGCTTCACATAATGGGTTAGGTGCATCCCTTGAACAACTCCATGAAAACGTTTGGAAAACAGTGTCATTTGCTTCAAGATTTCTAAATCCTCATGAATCCAAATATTCAACAAACGAATTAGAGTTATTAGGAGTTGTATGGGCGGTGGAACATTACAAAAATTATCTCTACGGCTCCAAATTCGAAATTATTACCGACCACAAAGCTCTCCTTTCCGCTTTGTCACCTAATCACGGAAACAAAACGTACCATAGCCGATTGACAAGATGGGTAGATCGTCTTCTACCATTCAATTTTACTATCAAGCATTTAGCGGGAAAAGATATGGGTTTTACCTATCTAATTTCAAGAACTCCTTCGGGTAAAGCAATTCCCCCATCACATTACGACGAAGAATTCGTAATTGCAACTACCAAAAAAATATATAATGCACTCAATCCTTTGGATAATGAAAATCCATTACGTAATTCAATTAATTCAATTTCGGAAAATTCCCAGTACACGAAATTACGAGATCACGTAATAATTACAGCATTGAATTTCGTCAATTCTTCCATCTCATTCTGCAATCAAAAACATTATAGAACAGAATTTTGTAACTCTAAATGTATTCCCTCGGATTTCTCAAACACAGATTCTACTGAAATCCTTCTATCAAATTCAGCCTTTATTTATTTTTTAATTATTAACAGTAGCTTAATTAGTAATCCTTCGGATTTCAAACTTATAAATAGTGTAAATTTGTCAAATAACCAAATTGTAGTAAATCCTTCAACTTCCGGGATACAGGTCTCTATTGATTTCGAAATTTCCTCAGAACACAAAAAGTTAGTAACTAAATTTCGAGAAAACCTCAAGTTACCTGAAAGACCTTTGGATTTAAATACTTTATTCAATGCAAAGTTGGTTGCTTTATTAACGGAAGATGATGAGATGTTAAACCCAATTGTGAAGGCTTTACAGAAAAAAGTAGAAAACATCAACGCAAATTCCCGTTACTTACACCAATTTTCGAAAGACCTTCATGAATCCGACGGACTATTATATATGGATGGAAAATTGGTTATTCCGTTTACACTTAGAAACGCCGTTTTAAAAACTTTACATGAATCGCACCCTGGCCAATTCGGTATGAAATACCTGGCACAATATATTTGGTGGCCACATATAAACCGGCAAATTTACTTCCACGGGATTAATTGCACACAATGCACCCAAACCGGTAAGAATATAAAAAGCATCATACCAACTACACAAATTAGCGAACTTCTCACTTTATTTGAATCTAATGAGGAATTAAACCTTGATTTTGCCGGTCCATTAGATAACAACTGGGGAAACAATAAATACATCTTATTATGTATAGATCGTTTTTCACAATTCCCATCAGCAAAAATTACTTCTTCAACGTCATCAAACACGGTAATCGAATTCCTTCAAGATTATTTTTATCTCCATGGGATTCCTAACTCCATTCGTGTTGACCACGCATCCTGTTTTACTAGTCAGGATTTTAAATTAGTTGCAATTCTCTTAATATCAAATTAATATTTTGTACAGTTGGGGACCATCGTTCTAGCGGTCTTGTAGAAAAATTTGTTCATACTGTAAAAATCAAATTATTAGCAATGTCTTTAGAACAACAAAAACCTACATTACAAACTGCCATTTCGAAAATCATTTGGAATTTACGATCTTCCTTTCAATCAAAAATAAAATGCTCACCGTTCGAAATACACTTTAATAGAAAACCGAACACGATCTGGAAGCAATTGGCATCTAATAAATTTTCCGGTGGATTTTTAGACAAAGGGAAGTCGATCTTAAGCAGAGAAAGGGCCCTTGACTGGAATGCTGACGATCGGATAGAGGACGGATACAAAGACTTTCTTGTACCGAAAAAGAACCAGTCACCATTGGAGAAAGGCTACGACTCAGACCTTCCTACAACCTCAAAACCTTCATCTTCCCGAGTGGCCTTAAACAGTCCGTTTAAAGGTAATTTACTACGAAAAACCAACGGAAGTATAAACGGAAATCCCTTCTATAAACAACTAGGTCAGAAAATAATAAACTCAACAAAATCCACGGTTGAACTATCCGACGGAAAAATCATTAGAAAATCGGACATCGCCATCCCAAAGTCTAAATCCTCTACAATTCGTTCATTCAAAGGAAATATCTCATTTCACTCTTTTTCTAACAGTGATTTACAAGTAGGTCCAAGAAAGACAAACAAAGCGAAGACACAACAGACGCGGAAACCAGACACTAAGACAGGACGACACACAGAGTCTTTCACCCCGGTCACCACCAGATCTAGAGGAACGAGACAGCCTACTAAATTCAACAAACCGAAGCGAAACCAAAATAAAGCCTCGACTTCGAACACAGGATACTTAGCAGGTGACGAATCCATGTTCATTCCGTCGGATACGTCGGACATTAGTGATTGGGAATGGATTGCGGGAGGTTTTCCATGCAGAGAAATGATACGAAAACGCTTGATTTCAGATAACCTCATTTTTAACGAAAAACCGTCCCCATCATTAGCTCCTCAAACATATCAAACTAATATAAAATCTGAGATTTTAGACGAACAACTTCAATCTACAGATACAGCGGAATTCCCAATTAGTATAAAGCCAGCACCTCAAACTACCTCACACCCACCTGGCGAATCTTCTACCGCTACGACAACAGAGGGCCCAAACACTCCTTCGGATTCAACAAAAGCATTGGAAGGAGAAAATCCGGTGGAATTTCCAGTCTTTGAGATAGAGGACTCCTCCAACGAAAGTGCAACTATTGAGGAAAGACATCCTAAGGAAATCACTATCACCGGTAACGAATTTAAATTAAGACGTTCAAGTCGAAATGTTGGTCCCCCACAATTCTATGGTAAGCGATATTACATAGATATTATAGACGAGTTCGAAAACCAACCAGGCTCCGCGAATAACCCTATATCTCTGGACGAGGGCGACAGCTCGGGCTCCCCCACACTAACCTTCAGAGAGAATCCCTCGGAGAACCAGACCCACATTTGCGACACTCTACCGGAGGACCGTGCACCGGGCCCAGCGCACCCTTCATCTCCCGACCAATTCTCCATCGCCTCTACTGACGAATCCCTGAGAGATGCGGTGAATAGTTTCGACAACTACATCGACTTAGACAGTGAAACTTTTAACGCCGAGCTAAAAACAATTCATGGAAGGGGACAGCTAAACTAAATCAAAAACTTGAAAACTCGCATTTAGTCATTATATCGTACTAGTATTTCGTTTCAACGCAGTTAGAGTTTACCTTCTTATAACTAGGGATTATAATCCGCCGGAATTAGAAATTATATCATTCTTTCTAATCCAGTCATTCCTTCGGAGCACTAAAATTTCATTTGTGATGTTACGCAGTATTTTAATTTTCAATCCTTGTTGGACTTCTCGAGAGGGAGAAAAAGGGTTAGACAACATGTTATGTATCATGGCGCTTAGTACTTTAATTTTTTTTCCCACTAAGGGGAATGTTGCGAATCTTACTATTCGTCTTATTTCATTTAATTAGTTTTAAAGTTTCTTATCTGGTTAATTTAGATATGACCTTGTTATTTTCATTCTCTCTGACGGAGAGAATGACCGCTCACTTTTTAATGTTTAAATTAGAGATTAATTCACTTTTAAACATATCTTATTTATAACTAAGTAGAATTATCCGTAACAAAGAAACATTTTATCACTGGGGAACCGAAATAAGTATTTTGGAAAAAGTTTGAAGAAACTTTTCTGTTTAGAAAACCAACATTTTATCGTTTTACTGCCCGCAATCCGACGAACGTGAGATGAGCCCGTAATTCGAACTGATATTTTTGGAACACTGAAAACTTCGGTAGGTTTCACTTGTCATATTGAATTTCAGCACTAATTCTGATCAATGATTGAACATTTGGTGTTGGTCGGAGGGAATGAATGTGTCTTTTTCATTTTAGCCACCATCTTCTTGGCAAAAAAACCTTAAAATTGATTTTGATATTATAGGGGGCTGTCCTTCATTAAGTGCTTCCTTTGAGACTAAATTAAACTTCTTTTGATTGGTACCGAATCCATATGAGTTGTTTCAACTGAAAAACTTTAAATAGTTGATCCGTTTTGGGCTATTCAACGTGCATGCAAACCTTTGTGGTCCATACTTCGGACCCAGATAAAATCTCTCCCACCCCCTTCCCCCAAGCCGTAGGCTCAGGATGTTATCTTTGGTTCTAAGTTTACAATTTTCAGCCAATCAGAATCGAGCATTTTACATGCAGCGGCGCTTACCAACGAATATTCAATCTGAATTAAATGCTGGGATTGAAGATCTTAACTTGATCTATCTGAGGGTGGGGGGGGGGGGGGTTGTTTGTTGTCAATTTGATCCCATCCTTCATTTTGATTTACTCCAAAAACGAAAGTCAGTATTGCTTGTGAATTAATATTCTCAATGATTGGAAAGTCTGACATCATAGCGTCAAACTGAATCCTTGCGGAGCATTTTGAAAATGGAAAAATATTAAGAATGATTTTATGACTTAGAAGGCAAGTTCATTTGGTGGTCAGGAATTCTATTATCTTATTTGATCAAGAGAAAGCCGCAGAACCTTCAGGCAAACACAGAATGCTCACAAAAGTAAAAGAGAATCTATATTCTAAATTGGACCATCTGCTATCTATTTTGCACATATAAAGGTACTGAATTCGTTAGAAGAATTGGAGAATTAATTGTCTTGCGGTATTTTATCAGAGCTGACACATAAAACTTCTTACCAAGAAAATTATATCTAACTCATAGTCAATGTCTAATTAGTAGATTAGAGTGACGCATAAGAAGATTATTAGTCGATTTTCTGCATGAAGTTTCAGAATACGCCTTGAATAAAATAAAGCCAGTTCTGATAGCTCATATAACCATTACCAAGGTAGTTTTGAGCTCGCTCGTTTTTGCCCGAATAAAATTATCTGTTTTCTTTTTTGTTTCGGATATACTGAAATGAGTGGAAATTCTAGCTCTAGCGATACAAGAAGGGTTCTCATTCCAATTGACAGGTCGGCGAATTCAGAACGAGCTCTCAAGTGGTACTTCAACAACGTGAAAAAACCAAATGATCACGTGATCCTTTTTCACTCAGTTGAAATGCCAACGATGCCTGTAAGTTGTCACTTCAAAAAGTGAACAAAACTTTAAAAAATTGAAACATTGATAATACCAGGGGCGGATTTAGGGGGGGGGGGGGCGGGGGGGGGCGGACGCCCCCCCCCCTCAGGGATTCGACCCCCTGCCGACCCAAAGGGTCCCCCCTTTGGTACTTTTTAAGAAATCAATTTTTTGCCGACCGACCCTAAATTTTTTCTAAAGGCGCCTTTGGCGCCAATATATACTAGCTTTGAGGGGGAACGCGCGCCAAAAAAACGCGATTTTTTTCGACAAAATTTTTCAAAAAGTGCCTAAAAACGCCTTTTTTGACCTGTTTTTTCAAAAATTTGCCTGCGGCGCAAAAATTTGGCCAAAATAGGGGCAAAACAGTGCTATGGGAAAGCTCGAAAATTCAATTTGGTCGACCTAAAAAAAAAAAAAAAGGTCAAAATTTTCGAATTTTTTTTGAAAATCCGCCCCCCCTCGAGAAAATCCTAGATCCGCCCCTGGATAATACTACTAAACTTTTGGTTATTATGCGTAGTTTTTGAGAAACAAACAAGCAGTATTTTGCTAAATTTTTTGTGAAGAGAAGTTTTTCTTGAATCAAGTTTGTAAACTTGGAAGTTTTTTTATAAAATTTGTGAATGTCTCATTTGAGAAATTTTCGGCAAAAAATTCTTACTTCTAATAAAAAACTTTTGGTTTGAATGCCACGCTGGTTCGAACATTTACTTTTCTACCATCGGCATGTTTCTCTACTTGAATATGATTTTTTTCCCGACCATTGCAAATGAGGGGGGGGGGGGGACTTTGCATTCCTTTGTGTTTTGTTTTTTTTTCCTACCAAAATCAGGTACCAGCCAACTGTTGTTTATTTGTATATGCCTAATTGGCTAAATTTTTACGCGTTTGTGTAGTTCTCACATGGACGACACTAAAAGGAAGTGAACACTTTTTTTGAATTTTTTTATGATAATGGTGAAATAATTCTGTCTTACTTGCACAGTAACAGCTGTACCTGTTTTTATATTGCCTCATTTTAACCAATTACTTACCTATTTTAGCAAGAATTTCGGGACTTTCAGGTACTATGCACGATCTCAATTGGTCGCAATCATAGTAAATGTTGCTGAATTGATACAGATTAATGCGATCGAAATCTCAATGGAGTTTTTGGCAAGTAATTGCGAGTTATTTGGCAACATACTAAAAAACGTCGCTAGCTATGTCTTCATATTTGTCATGTAAAAAGTAATGAAATTGTACCAAAAAATGGCAAGGTTGTCTTGAAAAAAGTGTTACAGGAATCTTCGAAAAGATAGTATTATTTCATGGATAGTTTGGATAATCTCCTGCCTGGGACAGAAGGACATCAAGATTTTTCACGTGATGGGGGTAGTTTTCTGTCAATCTTTTTTCAGGTTGTCCTAATCAATTTTCCAAATCTCCCGAAGAATCAAAATGATTCTGTTTAGCCACAAAATTTTGGACCTATATTTTGACAAAAACAGGTCGAAATGGCTATTTGTGAGACCTAATGAAAATGTTTGACCAAAAATAGGTATTTGCGCGGATTACATTCAAAAGATTATTAAATGAGCGAATGGTTCGACTCTATTCGACTATGTGAAGGACTGTATTTGAATGCGAATAAGTTCTGCTGTTGTCTATAATTTATTTGTCATTTGGCGGGGTATGGAAAAATTTGTATTAAAGTTCGAGTGAATGGCCTAATGAAATATGAAACGTAGAAATCATGGAAACATATCCTGGGAATTGAATTCTTAGGTCAATTCTTAGTGCATTTAACATCTCGTTTCGAAGTTTATTTCAAGTCAAATAGAACAACTCAATTTTCGTTCCAATTTTTTTTAACAACTTCAAGTTTACAGACATATAAAAGTTTTTCACTAGCACTGGTAACATTTTTCGTTTTCGGTCGACAACAACCCAAAATTCAGTATTGAAGAAAGTCTGGATGGCAAACAGCTATCTCGACATGCGTAGCTGTTTGTTGTACTGTTTCAGGTGATGGCGATGGGTGCTCCAGGGGCATTCAAGGTCGACGAGTGGAAGGCCATGATCAAGGACGAGATCAAAATCGTGGAGAGTCTCAAGTCCAAGTACGAGAGACTAGTTCAAAATCAACAGGTAACTGTGGAGTTCCATGCATCAGACCAGACCAGTGGGATAGGAGAGAACGCTTGCAAGGCAGCCAAGGTATATTGCGCTTTTAATTGGATGAATAAAAAGTTTAGGCTGAATATTTCACGAAGGAAAAGGACTGAAACACAAGCTCTTCGATTCTTTCAAGCTGTCGTACCCATATTAAAAAACACGCGATTTTTTTGTAATTTTTATCATCTGGGCAATGTTTCATCACCCCTAAGCAACGAGCACGGCTCATGATGGGCCTCGTAATAACAACCTTTCAATAGAGAGGCAGCTTAGCATGTTCACCACCGCTTCGCAAATTATTTCTCAAACCACGGCTTGATGTTTAAAAAATTGTTGATTAGTTGAATTGATTCAAACGAAGCTCATTTAGCATTTCACTCAGAGCTTATGTTCCTCCATAAGTTACGTACAAGAAGCGACATAAATAATCGAAAAAAGAACTCATTTTAGAAAGTTATAGGCTTATTTTTAGGATAAGAACGCAGACTTGATTGTGATCGGCTCACGAGGCATGGGCAAAGTGAGACGAACGATCCTCGGCTCAGTGTCCGACTACATCCTGCACCACGCTCACTTGCCAGTGCTAGTCGTGCCTCCCGAACAACACTTGTCTAGGACCTCGATTTCGGAATAAAAAATATTCCTTAAAAAGGAGTTGACTTAACAGCAGGAGCTCTTGTATATGTATTTGTCAATGATTAATAATTTAAAAAGAAGAACAGTTATCATTAAATTTTCAAAGTCATATTCGAAGCCACCAACTCATTACGTAGCATATATCTAACGACCGTATTAACTGATCTTTTTGCAAACTTCTGGTTGTGTTTGGCTGTTAAATTTGGCATATCCCCAAACAAGAAAAAACAGATGATGATAAATCAATAGTTCTGGGTATTGTCGATAGAAGTTCGTATTTTAATGAGGACATACAGAAAATACCAATTCCATAGGCTTAAATGTCAAAAGTTAATTAACCTGCAACCATTTTTCAAAAAATGTGGATTTGGGAGTTACCAAAACGGTTTTACTGACAGCAAAAATCAGCATTGAAATAGAGCAAGACTGCTTGTATCAGGGTGAACCCCTGAATGTTCCGACTGCCTTTTGAAGTTTATGGAGCAGTAATAACATTTTAAAAAAATGTAATAAAATGAAATGAAAAACTTTTTGTTTCTGAAACTTTCGTTGAAAATCTTCCCCCCACACGCCATATAGAGTACAAAAGAATAGATTTCGCTCCTTGTTAAGAAATCAATTATGGCAAATAAGCATCTTTCAACCAATTTGGAACAATTTCTAAGACTGATTAAGTCTCGCTTACGCGTTGATAGCGCGAAATATATCGCGCGTTAATTGTCCCAAATTGGCCAAAATGGCAATCTTTAAACTCCCAATCTTTACAAAAAATGATCACGCCTGAAATATCTTTTCACTTTTAGGCTCAACACAACAATAGCTTTTAAAAGATTCCGTCAAAAGTGGCTCGTTAAAAAGTCGAATTTGTCTGAAAAAAAAACCCAAATTACGAGGCCAAACTGTGCATTCTCTGCATTGTAAGCGGAATCCGCAACAGGCCAAAATCAGATTTGTCGCGGAATCCGCAACACTGTTACTTTTCTTTGATCTTCTATGCTGTTTCGGATTCCACAAACAAATACCTAAATCATTGTACCGCTCAAAATCGCTCGAAAAGTAGGCGAATTTGCGGAATCCGCAACTGTATTTGAGGAATCCAGAACAGTTTGTGGAATCCACGAACAAATGATAAAATATTTGCATCGTTAAATTGAGCTGTTGCGGAATCCGCAAATGTAAGTGGAATCCGCAAATTCTAAGTGGAAACCGCAAATTGTAAGTGGAATCCGAACTTTGTTTGCGGATTCCCTATACATATATTTATATGTGTAGTAGCCTTGAAAATTATATCTTTTAAATGCAGGATTTTATTTCACTAGAATAGAAATTTATTAGAAGAGAAATACTCTGGAATAGATCAGTGTTTGGGATTAATGAAACCCCAATTACTGACCAATATTTGGGATCGATGAAATCCCAAATGTTGAACTAATTCGACGATTTGCTATGCGTTGGTTTCTAATTACTCTCAACCTAGCGACTCCAAATAGTAGATATATACCATATTTATTCCACATTATTCCAGTTTTTGGGATTTCATCAATCCCAAATACTGACCAGTATTTGCGATCGATGGAATCCCAAATACTGAACTAATCGACGATTTGCTATGCATAGGGTTTCTAATCACTCCCAACCTAGCGACTCCAAATAGTAGATATATACCATATTTATTCCACATTATTCCAGTTTTTGGGATTTCATCAATCCCAAATACTGACCAGTATTTGCGATCGATGGAATCCCAAATACTGAACTAATCGACGATTTGCTATGCATAGGGTTTCTAATCACTCCCAACCTAGCGACTCCAAATAGTAGATATATCCCATATTTATTCCACATTATTCCAGTTTTTGGGATTTCATCAATCCCAAATACTGACCAGTAATTGGGATCGTTGGAATCCCAAATACTGACCTAATTTGGCGATATGCTGTTTGTTGTGTTTCCATACACTCTCAACCCAATGACTACAATTACTGCATTTATTCGGCGTAATGCTTCCAAAATCAGTATTTGGGATTGACGCAATCCCAAATACTGACCTTATTTGTCGATATACTGTGTCTTCCATACACTCTCAACTCAATGACTCCAAATATTGAAATTGCTCGGTGTTGTGTTCCCAAAATACTAAAAGATGACATCCACCGATTTAGGTAACCAATGTTTTTAGACTTGTTCGTGGATTCCGCTGACAATGGTTAAGCCTTTGCTTTTAAAATCCGCATTGCTAGAGATAAGAACTCCAGCTCAGCTTTTAATTGTTCATATGCAAGTTCAGTATTGAACAAAATTCGGAATCCACTTACAGTTTGCTGAATCCACTTACGTTTGCGGATTCCGCTTACATTTTGCGGAATCCAATTAGAGCTGCGGAATCCAGAACGACTAGGTATATTTGCTTGTTGCGGAATCCGCAACAAAACAAATATGCCGTTAAAATTTACGTTACATATATATGTATGAGGAATCCACTTACATTTTGGAACAGATTTTAATACTTGTCTCTGGAATCCAGGAACATACGGACACAAAATTGTGCTCCTATCCAGTGCACAGTTTGGCCTCGTAATTCACCCCGAGCACAAATATTCCGTTACTTTCGTGCAAAGCCCTGAATGTTCCGCTGTCGCTTAATTTCATATCAAATAGTTTGAGTCGTACGATATTAATACGACCATTTAGCTAACCTGAGTTCAATTTGGAACGATTTCATTGAGTGGGATAATTCGCCACGCATAAATAATTCGCGTTACGCTCTCAACATTATGAAAAATCTCATCAAATTGCTCATAATCTAGTCCAGAATTTGGCCAATTTGGCAATTCTCAAACTCACAGAACTTTACAAAAAATAATTGGAGGTAAAATATCTTTTTAAACTTGAACTCAGTAAGTCGATGGATTATAATTTTTTTGCTGACAACTGTTATTTCGATCGGCAAAAAATGATATTAATTGGCCAAAATTGGCCAAAATGGCAATCTTTAAACCCCCAAATTTTCAAAGTAAGGCTCAGTACAATTATACGTCGAAAATGGCTTGTTAAAAAGTCAAAAGAAGAAAAAACCCACCCCGAGCGCAAGTATTCCGTTACTTTCGTTACGAAAGACTGAACAATTAGCTTTGTTGAATTACTCTCTGGTTCCTTTAATATTGACGTCTAAAAACTGAGTTTTATTTGAGTTGAGCTGCAATATTTAAATAAACATATAGCAAAAATTAGATTAAATGTTTTTTGAAACTCCGTACTTGAAAAGTTGTGGTCGGAAGATAATGCAGCACGTGCACAGCTTCCCTCCAGCCCTTTTTAATTAAAACTAAGATGTAACTCTCTGTGGCTTTAAGTATAGCAAGGACAATATGCGACGAGATACATCATTGCTTGCACCTATCTTAGTCAAATCATACGATAAAAAAATGCAATCAGACAAAGCGACGTCTGCAATCAAAGGATATGTAGAAAACTCAAATCAGTAATAATTTTTAACTTGCGGAGTTTTTGCGTGTTTCACTTTAAAAAGAACTCTGAAGGCCCAATACATATTTTAATACAGAAATAAAGAGAGAAAATTCAACGGTAAAAAACGTAAGTCTTCGTGGCTCAAACAAATGTATCCTGTGTCCGCCGCTTTTTTTCACAAATTCGTTATATATACTAATTTTTCAAATTTAATATACCAAAACTGTCTCACAACATTTTGCACAAGACAAATTTATGGCTCTTTTTAACTTTATCTTCGATTCCGACAAAACAGAAACTAATGATTTCAAAAAAAAAATTGAAAATGAAACATAAATTGTATTTCAAATGAGTTAAGTTTTGATTGAAATCAAAGCTCAGTGTGCAGGACTTTCTCTCAGTTTCGTAGGACTTTAAAGAAGACGATGGAAGTTTAAGAAAACGATGGAAATTTAAGAAATATTTGTTCATTTTCTTTTCTTGTACATCTTCAATCGACCAAAACTACTGAAAGTATATTCGAGGTACAGTGAAATATATTCTACTTTTTGCTTCTGTTAACAAATTTTTGTCATCACATCTCTATTCAAATTAAATTGTAGAAACAATTTTTCATGATGAGAGCTCTGAAATTTTTCATAACATATCAAGAAATCGAAGCTTTGCAATAACTGCTACAAGAAACACAAGAAAAGCATTTCCACCTAGCAAAAAAAAGAAAAGCGAAGGACACGAAAATTTTTTCAAAAAAAATCAACTTTTATTACAAGACAGTGACTAGAAAAAACCGAAAAATTAATTTACGAAAATTGCTTAAAGAGTCACTTGAAAAAGTCGAGAAAACTATGACAACAACAATTTTATACTTTCTCAGGTTTTGGATGATATACTCATATGCAACCAAGCTAACAAAACTTAGTTTGTCCCCTGTTGAGCTGAAAACAAAATTGTTGTCTTAAAAAACTTTGATTTCAAAACTTTAAAAAACCTTTACCATACAATTGTATTGAAACACTTGTGAGCATAAAAACACTTTTCATCAACACTACACAAAAAATTTTGACTGAGCTGAAATAAAATATATCGCAACCCTTTGTTTGGAAAAACAGCAAAAGAAAAAACAAGTTCAAAATCAAACAAAAAAATACAATTCACAGAAATTTCAATTTTACGAAACATTTCCTGAAATTAAAAAAATCTATTGATAAAATTTGAAGTGACCCAACGTAAATTAAGAGGAAAGCCATGGAAGCGAAAGCAATCAATTTTTTTTTTACATTTTGAAAAAATAATTGTTGATTTAATTTTTTCCAACTTGTATATAACAAATACATCAATTTTTTTCTAGGTCTGTTTAACAGTCACCGGTCTGTTTACCATTCACTGTTTAGCTGAAAACAATTTCTCGTATCAAAATAAAATTACCGCTGGGAATTTCTTAAATAACTGGTTGTTATCTCGCTAACCGAGTTCTTCTTTCGTTTGTCCTGCGATTGCTTGAGCTCTTCTACTAAGTAGCTCAAGGTAACCACACATTCAAAAAAACACAGCTTAAATAACTCGTCTAGTTTTCTTTGTACACTCAAATTAGAATCCTCGTCGATTTCTATTCGTTCACTCATTTCCAGG